CTCTGGAATGGTTTACTTGACTGTTGTCGGTGGCAGTGACTGATGTTTCGACAACCTGTGCGGAAGTCATCATCAAAGTCAAGTGAATGATTGTTGTCAGTAGAATGTTCTTATTCCAGTTCGTGTGAAATGATCGGTTGGTTTTGCCGTGATGTTATTGGCTGTAAGACTCAAGTGACGTAAGTCGGTCGTGATTGGAAGAAAAGTACTGATGGGCAGCTGCACACGATGATGATGAAGACAAAGTAACAATGCAAAATCTTATTTCCGGAATTCCAAAAACTACTGTGGCTTTTCAATATTTTTTTGAATTACTAAAACGAAAGAAACTCGCATGAATTGAGAACGCTTGAATAACGAAAACAACGAAAATTTCTACCTCTCATTTAGGTGAGCTTCAGTTTAGACTCACATCGGTTAGGTGAGAGAGAATTGTAGCTAAATATTAATAGTTGATAACGACTCCTGTTTACTCAACATGTAGGACTCACCAAACCTTCGACTAATTCGATGGATTATTGTTTCGTTCAAGGGTCATGGAGTATCTAGATCGTCATCCAGAAGGCTTCTGTAAAAGAGTATTTATTATATTTAATGATTAGTTTTTAGTGCTTTGTTGTTTCGTGTTTGTTTGTTTATTGTCTCTAGGATTTTAACAACTTTCATTTCAAATGTTGAAAACAGCATAATCCAGAGAGATCTTTTGTACCAGGTCATGGGTAATCCCTTGCTTGATGTTTTTTTATGCGCATTTTTCTTCTAAAAGAATAGTTCCAGATACAAAAGGGGCACTAAGTGTCTACAGTTCTGTTTCTTAAAAGTCATAGTGTCTCAATTCACTTCATTTTATTGCAATATTTCAGATGATGACCTAACATCATAGGCTTGTAAGGTGGTAAATTACAAATATTTCTATGTACAATATTAGAATTTTGCTGTCAATTTTCTTTTAATATCGGTGACCTTTAAAACTGATTAATTTGGCTCTTTATGACATCTATGTAATTAGTAAGTAAAGACTTTTTTTAAAGAGGGTAGCACTAAAATAGTATAAATACTAACAAACCCGTGGCCCTCTAAACTGAATTATGTACAATACGGATGTTAAAAACTATGGCATAAGTAAAATAAAAGAGATAAGAGGTAAAATAAATTAATAGTACAAAAGTATAACTAAATCACAGAATAAAATGATTTAAAAGCTGCTGTTCTTCAAATAATTTTTTCCAAAGAGAGTTCCTAAAAGAATTTAGCGACGCTATTTTCCGCATGGATAGCAATAAGCTGTTCCAGGCTTGACAGGCAGTCACAGTAAATGTTGTTCCTCCTTCAGCTTTACGTTTGATAACAGGGCGAGCAATATTGAAGTTGGCATACCTAGCCTGCTGTGAATGAGTGTCGCTAGTAAGCTTAAATAAACTTTTAAGATATGTGGGTACTTGCCCCTGTACGCGCTTGTATATAATACAGCATTTAGTTAGTTTAGCTTGTTCGAAAAATGGTATCCAGTTTAGTTTATTGGACAGTTTGACGGAGGAGACTTGACAATCGGCGTCTAGAATAACTCTAGCAGCCATCTTCTGCAACTTTAGAACACGGTTAAGGCAATGTTTATCACAGCTCGTACAAACCACATTTACATAATCAATTACCGGTCTTATCATGGCGTTATAAAAAATAAGTCGATGTTTTAGAGGTAGACAATATTTAATTCTCTTTAAAATTCCTATCCGCTGCGAAAGCTTTTTATTCAATTTCTCCACATGAGTGATAAATGTTAGTTCGTGGTCGATATCTAGTCCCAAAAGCTTTGCACAACGAAAATTGTCAAGTTGTTTTCCATTAACAACTACAGCAAGGTCATGGTTAATTCTGGTATTTATTGATAAGTATAATATCCAAAACTGGGTCTTTCCAATCACACTGATGATGTTATGTACAGTGTTTGCTGTAATGGGTCAAGCCTGTAGCTTGATATATTGTTTGAGTGGTCTGTTACAGGACTTGAAAGGAATAATTACTTACTAATACCGGCGAAAACAAATTAATGTTCTTCTCTTTATCATGGCTTAAATACTGGGTAGCTTGGAGAGCATGTGGTTAAATGAATCAATTTAGGGTTCCGATACATAACTTGTGTCGACATCTGCACCCTCAGAATATCTCATCAATGCATTTGTGGTAGTTTGCATAGTCTAAGGGCAAACGTCAGTGCTTTTTAAAAATAAGACAACTTTCAGTGGAATTTGAATACTTCTAAACTTCCATATTGTTATTCTGTTACAGAGAAGGTCAGTAAAAAGAATTAAAGCGCAATGCCTCAAAAAGTTAGCAAAGATGGGGATGGTAAAAGATATTTAACCGTTTTTTATCAAGCCACGCATACATTGTTGTATTTTAAGATAATCACACTAAGAAAACCACAACAACCACATGGTGTGTTCTCTCTKCTTTATTCACAATGCATCATGAGTATGATGACTTATGAATATATTACACTACTTTCCCCCACAAAGCAAAATGGGGTTTCTTTTTCAACATAACTCAACAATAACAATCAACAAATGAAAATACCTAGATGCTCAAAGGTTAAGTTTATCAACAGTTTTTTTAATTCTCTCGGATCTCCTCAAAACACATGGAGAGGCGGAGGCCTCATGACCTAAACAAATAGGTGCCATCGGCACAACTGAATTTGAGTTATTTAGTATCGGTGACAATTCCGAGGTTTTGGCAGGATTTTCCTTTACATCTTGCTCAGGCGGTTCATATGACTCAGGAACCATAACTTCAGCCTCCTCAACCTTATCAGGTGCATTGTCACAAGCCCTTACCATGTGATCAGTGTGAACATAACGATTCCGATATCCTGTTTTAACAATATATGTTCTGGGACCACAGAGTTTAATAAGTGTCCCTGGAACCCACCTATCAACCTGAGATTTTGGTCTGGTGTTTCGTACACGCACTCTATCATATACTTGGAAAAATCTCTCTGCATCAACTTTAGGATCCTTATAAACTGCTTGCTTAGTTTGCTTGTGTTGAACAGCTTGTTCTAGATCAGGTTTAACTAAATTTAGCCTTGTTCTTAATTTACGCTTTACCCTGAGTTCTGCTGGGGTCACACCAGTGGTGCTGTGAGGGGTTGTGCGATACCTAAACAAAAAATTTGCCAATCTATGCTTCATGGATATTCCCTTAGTTCCCTCCAATACTTGCTTTATCAATGCTTCTTTCAACACTCTCACAGACCTCTCAGCTGCCCCATTGGATGGTGGATGATAGGGAGGGACCAAAGTGTGCTTTATTCCATTTTTACGCATAAATTCAGAAAACTCATGGGACACAAATTGTGGACCATTGTCAGAGACTAGCTCTTCTGGTAAACCATGCTCTGCAAAGATCAACCGTAACTCATCAATTGTTTTATCAGCCGTGGTTGAGGTCATATGTTTGACCTCTATCCACTTGGAGTGGCTATCAACAACTACTAGGAAGTAATCAGCTTCTTTTTGACAGAAATCGACATGAATTCTCTGGAATGGTTTACTTGGCCAGTTCCATGGAATTAAAGGTGCACATGGTGGAGAACTCCTAGTGCTCTGACACACTGTACAAGACCTCACTACATCCTCTATTTCCTCATCCATTTTGGGCCACCACACACATGAGCGTGCAATTGCCTTCATCCCGCACATGCCAGGGTGTTCCCAGTGCAACTCCTTCAACATTTTGACTCTTAGAGAAGGTGGGATGATTACTCTTGAACCCCAAAGAATACAGCTTTGCTCACAGGACAACTCTAGCCTACGATTGTGATAAGGTTTTAGTGTTTCATCCTCACATCTGTCTGGCCATCCAGACATAACAAAATGAAGGACCTTGCTCATTGCTGGATCATGTTGGGTTTCTCTCGCAATGTCTTTGGCTAAGATGGGAAAATCATCATCAACAGCACTTACACGATAAATTGAAGCTTCACCAGCTAGATCAGAGCCTTTGCGTGGCAGTCGTGACAATACATCACAGTTGGCATGATCTTCAGATCGTTTGAATACAATCTCATAGTCATATGCTGACAAAACTAGGGCCCATCGCTGCATCCGGGCTGCAGCTAATGTGGGAATAGCCGACTTTGGTCCGAGAATTGACAGCAGAGGTTTGTGATCGGTGACCAAAGTAAACTTCCACCCATATAAGAACTGACGAAACTTCTTTACCCCATAGATGATCGACAGTGCCTCACGCTCAATCTGGGCGTAATTCCTTTCACTAGACGTTAAAGTTCTTGAGGCATAAGCAATGGGCTTTTCTCTGCCGTCATCCATCACATGACTAATGACAGCTCCGAGCCCATAACTGGAGGCATCACAGGCCAGCCTAAGCTCTCTAGTGACGTCATAGTGAACTAGCAGAGAGTCACTTGTAAGGCCTTCTTTTACAGGCATCATAGGCAGGCATCATAGGCAGGAATCATAGGCACTCAGTAGTCCAAACCCATGCCTTTCCCTTCTTCAAAAGATCATGAAGGGGTGCTAGAGTACTCGCTAGGTTTGGAAGAAAGGAATGGTAATATTGGATCATTCCCAGGAATGACCTTAACTCACTGACATCACTTGGTACTGGTGCTTTTCTACCTGCTTCAAGTTTTTCTTCGACTGGCTGTAGTCCAGCTTCACTTATTCGTAGGCCAAGGTAAATTACATCTTTTTTGAGAAATTCGCACTTGGATAGCTTAAAGTGTACATTATATTTGTGCAGGCGTTCTACTACCTCTGAAAGGATTCTCAGATTTTCCTGAGAGTCTGCACCACGTATGAGAATATCATCTTGCTTGCAAACACACCTTTCTACTCCCTGTAATATAAGGTCCATTTTTGCCTGGAAGAGTTTTGGGGAGGATTTAACCCCATAAGGAAGCTTGGTGTAAGAATACAGCCCCTTATGTGTATTTATGGTAAGGTATTCTTGGCTTTCTTTGACAACACTAAGTTGAGCGTAAGCGTGCGACAAATCAAGTTTGCTAAAAACTTTGGAGCCTCTAAGAGCATTGTACAAGTCATGTGTAGTTGGAAGAGGGTATGGTTCATCCTCCACTGACTGGTTTATAGTGACCTTATAATCACCGCATATTCTGACTGATTTGTCAGCTTTGGGTACTACTACTACTATTGGGCTTGCCCACTCAGACCTCTCAACCTTCTTTATGACACCATTCTTCTCCAGCTTATCTAGCTCACTCTCAACTGCATCTTTTAAGGCATATGGCACCTTTCTGGGTTTAAAGAAAACAGGTTTTGCCGCTTTTTTAACAGTTATATGGGCTTCCAACCCCTTAGGACCTTCACAACTATCCTCAAAGAGAAAATTGTGCTTTGCAATTAAGTTGTCAAGCTGACTTGTCTTTCCATGAGGTTCTGGGCTTCTAATCTGAAAGATTTTTTCCCAATCCAACTTAATACAACTAAGCCACTCCCTCCCAAGAAAAATTGGTTTCCCTGTGTAATCTGCAACTAACAAGGGTAACGAGTAAGTTTGGCCCTTATACACCACATCACATCTCATTTCTCCACACACATTTACCAGCTCCCCCGTGTAGGTCTTAAGTATAGCGTTTGAAGGTGCAAGGGAGAAGTTACTAAATTTTAGTAAGTAGGTACTCTTACTCATACTTGAGCGATCTGCTACAGTATCCGCTTTCATCTCGCACATACAACCATTGAGTGACATGTTAACTTTGTACCCATGATTCTTCGACACAGTGGTTTCGACAGAAAATATACCCAGTTCATCATATTCATCATTATTTTGCATGTTTTGAATGCTACCCTTAGGCGAAAACGAGTTGACTTTGTTTTCTTCACTTTTAGCACGACATACTGTGGCGATATGCCCTATTTTTGAACACCTAAAACATTTAGCATTTTTAAACTTACAAATATTACAGTTGTGTTTTCCTCCACATCTAAAACATGATTTGTTGGACAAGTGTTCCTTTGCGCTAACTTTCTCAGTTTTAAGTTGGTTAACAGTTCCTCTTTCACTTTCTCCTACGGCAGCAGCAGGGTGAAATTCTTGTGAATTCCTCTCAGCCATCTCCATGGACTTTGCAATCTGACATGCTCGATCAAACGTAAGGTCTTCGGTATTCAGCAACTTGCTTTGTATCTTGACATTGTTGAGACCACAAACAAATTGATCTCTCAGAGCTCTGTCCAAAAACAGTCCACAATTGCAGTGTATAGACAACTTCTTTAATGCAACAATGAAGTCATTCACGGATTCACCTTGCTTTTGATTACGTGTGCCAAAGTGAAAACTTTCGGCAATCTCGAGTGGACGCGGATTGTAGTGTTTTTCCAGACATTCGATTATTTCGGTCAGTGGAATTTCCTTTGGTTTCGTGGGCGCCACAAGATTGCTTAGTGTAGAATAAACTTCTGGCCCAACTTCTGTGAGAAAAATTGCCCTTTGTCTTTCTCTGACCAGTTCGTTGGCCGCCTCTTGACGTTCGCCCGCTCCTTCGACGATACCGTTTGCAGTGAAAAACATCTCAACTCTTTCAACATAGGCGCTGAACATCTCTTTCTCGGGACTAAACTCCCCGACTTTATCAAAAGGTGCACTAGCAGCCATCCTCGTCGCCAGGAATGTTGTATTTTAGGATAATCACACTAAGAAAACCACAACAACCACATGGTGTGTTCTCTCTCCTTTATTCGCAATGCATCATGGGTATGATGACGTATGAATACATTACATACATCATTTAAATTTGTACCACTACTGTTGTTATTTGTTTCTTGTTGAAATTAAGAGACAACATTATGTAACTGTGTACATTGCAAGGGTATTTGATGTGACACCTATTGCAGCCTAAAACACCCACAATGATTCCCGATTTCCATTGCAGTGAACCGTTTATATAATAACAAATGCCAAAAATCCAGCATTCTGCTCCAAGAGCAACACTGAAAAAGTGTCTATCTTTTAAGATCAAAACTTGCTCAAGAAATCAAAAGTTTCCATTCAAAACACACCTCAGGGCCAGATCTTGCTGTTTGGCTGGAAA